GTCACATATTTATTACAAAAAATATACTGATGCCATTGAATAATTCCTTGATTAAAAACTTTCAATTGTTTATTTTGTGATTTATGCAAATATTTATTATTAAATTGAAAATGAGAATTACATACTCCTAATCTTGATAAAATGCATCTACTTCTTTAATAGCATCTCTATCAACTTGTCATGTACCAAATAAATTATATAATAGCCTTGATTTTGTTAAATCCTTATATTGTTTGAATTTTACCTTTAACAAAATTAATAACTACATATGATGTTGGTTCAATATTTTTCAAATTATCTATAGTTTTTTTTTTCAACAGTTTCATATTCATATTACTCATTTTCTTCAAAATCTTCAAGATCTATATTGCCAGTATTGTTATTATTATATATTTCTTCCTCTTCTTTAAACTCTCTATTACAATCGTATTTTTCTGTAAAAAATAAAGAAGAAGGAAAGGAAAAATTTCATATTTTTATTTTAACATTGGATTTTCCTCCTTGTTAAAAAATGGGTAACTTGAAAACGGAAATGCAAGTTATTTAAGACTTCATTTGCTAAAATAAAGATAAAAACCATCTTTTTATCTCATTATATCACTTTTCCTATATTATAGACTATGGTTAAATGGCATTTATATATGTTAGAATATTATCAAGTTTGGCAATTTTTCATTTACAATATATGTTGTTTATAGTAAAAGTTGCTATAATTTATTATGTAAAATTTTTTTATATAGCTAATAATTATAATTAAGGTATTAATTGATTCATACCCAATTGTAATATCTACTGATTTCTATCTATTGATTACTGATCAAAAAATAGTAATCAATTAGAAAAGTACCTGTAACATCCTAATTTTTAATATCATACATAATGATATGAAGAATATCATCTTGAGAAATGTTGAATTATCAATGATAAGAAGTTATATTTCTTTTCTTACTCCTTTCATTATGATGTCTTTAGTCATCTATTTGTTGATGCGTTGAAGATCTTTTAGGTATCCTATTATAGAAAGCTGATAATATCTCAGATTCAGTTATTAAATAAGTCAAAAAGAATATCAGCGGATAAAAGATTTAAAGAAAGTAGACTTGGAACTGTGTGAGTTTGGATACTTGAATATTCTTAATCTAGGCTGGAAAGCCTGGGGGAAGACTTTCAAATAAAACTTTTATTATACTAGTAATTAATGTTTCATCATATTGATATTTGTTTTCGATTTTATAATTAAATAAAACATTATAATATTTACCTAGTCAAGTTGGAGAATAAGGTCATTTTTTTAAAAATACTTGATGATATTATTAATTTGAATGGTCTTTTATTTGTTAGATCTTACTGATATGAAGGTTTTGGTATTTTCTGTTAACTTTGAATTATCAGAACCTGCTGATTTAGTGTTTTTTGACTACTTAGATTTAGTGCTGAAAATTGTCAATATAATGTTTCTTGGCTACTAAAAGATGTTAAAGTTATTATCAGAACTTGATGACATATTTTTTGATCACTTGAAGGTATCAAAGTTGTTATCAGAATCTGCTGACATGTTTCTTGCTACTTAAAGATGTCAAAGTTATTATCAAAATCTGCTGACGAGAAGTATCTGCTATTTATTAGCTACTAAAAGTTTCTGTTACTCTCTGAAATTTTTGTTAACACATCATTTTCTGATGACATGATAGTTGATGATGTTCTACTACAATCTTTTTTAACCCATATTTTTAGTCATATTTGTGATGAAATATTAGTGAAAAAATGAGAAAGAAAGAAAAATAATATTGGTAAAGAGAGACGAAATATTATTTGTAAAAAAAGTGAAAAAATAATATATGTGAAAAAGAGATGAAATATTATTTTTAGTGAAAGAGAAATAAAAATTATTTTTGACGAAAAAGAAACAAAATATTAGCTGTAAGAAAGTGAGAAACTTTATTAGTGAAAGAGATTTAAATTTTATTAGTAAGAAATATCGAAGAATTTGATTAAAAACAGTTTGAGAAAAATAAGTTTTTTTATAAGCTTTTAGTTAGAAAAGCATTACATAATATTAGAATTTATTTTCATATTATTGCAAACAAACCCTTTGTTTCAAAAAAATATGTATTAGCTCGTATTAGATAGTATAAAAAATTATAAAAAAAAGCTGATTATTAGACAAATTATTTTCTCAGATAAGTCAAGTGTTGAGATTGAAAAATAGTCATAACAAATAAGAGTTTAGAAAAGTAAAGGTAAAAGGTTTAATATTGAGTGTATGACATTTACTTTTAAAAGTAGACAAAAATCAGTTATGATTTGAAGGTATTTTGCGAGAGAGATAAAAAGACCATAATTTTTTGTGATAAAATCAAAGAAGGAAATGAAAAAATTAACTTATATTAAAAAATTCTAAGTTCATACTACAGTCGGACCTCTATATACTGATATTTTATATACCAATATACTATTAAAAACTTTATATACTGATAAAATTTTATTTATCCACTATACTTGAGATCATATAAATATCGGTATAATTTGATATAATGATATTTTTAAAAAAAAATTTTATATGTTCTGACATATCATTATATAGAGGTTTGTCTGTACTTCCATTTTATTATACAGTTTATGAACTAACAGGTAGAGCTGTAATTTTTTAACAGAATAATATATCTATTTATACTGTGAAAATAACTAAAGAATAGATAAAGGAAAATAAAATTAAAACTATTGATTAGCCAACAAATTTACTTGATTTAAATTCAATAGAGAATATTTAGAAGCAGCAGTTAAAAGACAATATTTAGAATCATAAGACCTTTTCAAGAAATGTAAATGAACTCAAAGTTGTACTAAAGAGAAAAAAAGATTAGTTCATTTTTGAAGAGATTGTTGCCTCAATATCACAAAGAATTAATGCAGTACTAGAAGCAAGAGAAGGTCGTACACATTATTAGTTGTTTAAATTTCTTTTTATATGTAGAGTTTATAAAAATAAATAAAGTTTTTGTCATTTTTTGCATTAATTTTTAATCAGGCATCACTTTCGGAGGTAATTGTACATATATTTGATATTATCTAATTTAGGTTTTATAAAAAATCTTGTTTTTTCAAATTGATATATTAAAGAATCTAAACTATGTTTAAAGTATTTATTAAATATTTATAATAATAAAGATTATAGAATTTGATCTATTTTTTGATTATATAAGAAAAATTGCCATTATAGTTTGTTTAATAAATTTTAATGATTTGTATTTAATTTTCTTTTATATTTTATTATATACATTTTCATAATGATATTTAATTACTTATTTCTTTCATTTAGATTGTATTTTTTTTTGATCTTTCTTTAAAATCTTGTTGATAAACACACTTTTTAATATGTTTAAAAACATTATTCAAGTATAAAAAAATATATTAACTTTTAATATCAGAGATGAAATATTAATATTTATATTAAAATTACCTTTATAATCATCATTACAGTCACTATCATTAGATATATTTTCAATAAATTCTTATCAAAAACTTTATTATCTAAATTATCACTTAACATATATTCAGAATCACCTTATTTTTAGTTGCAACAAGAAAAAAAATATATAAATAAAGGGAAAAAAGGAGATAAAGGAGAAAGTATATAAGAAAAAAAAGAGAAAAGCAAGAAAGAATAAATAACAAATAAGTTTATTTATTAAGAATCAAAATACATGATAATATGAAAAGTTTAAATTCAAGTGCATTTCAAAAAATGCTATGCATAGATATTTATTACATATCAACTAAAAATAATTTTAATAAATTTTGATATACATACACATCAAAATTACTATGCATAAGATACAATTTATATATCCTGAAACTAGTGAAGAATTATTTAATTGAATATAAATCATCAATAAAATAATAAGCAACTTTATTTAGACATATTTTAGGTCATATTTGACTTAATGATCATGTTTATAACATGATTCTAAACATGTTAATAAATTAGTAATTAATTGATTAGAATAACAAAATAATTAATTAACAATTTAAATCATAAAATATAATGAAAATTTTATCTGAAAATAAAAATGATGAAAAAAAAACAGGTTTGTCTATGTGATTTGTATAATGACAAAAATAATAATGTTGATTTTTGCAGTCTATAAATCATATTAGGTGTTTTATTTACCTCTCTTTTTATGAGGAGATATCACAATTCGTCGAATATTCAAATCGATTCTACATTCTGTTGCATGTGACACGTTATTTCAGGTCACATGATAAGACTTGAATTAACTTCGCCTTATGTCGATTCATAAGGACTTATAAAAAATTATCATAATATTCATTCGTATAAGTATATAATTATATGCAGCATATATGCCATCCTTCCATACCCTTTGTGGACATTCATCTAGCGACCAACTTGCAATCGGTCCAAAAAAAAGAATTTTTTTTTGTATAGAATTGACTCGGGAAATTTGTTAAAAAATATTCTGATTGGATTGTTGAATTCGTACCACTTAATGAACTTCTTAATATAAATACGCGCTTTTTTCAATCAAAATTCAAAGTCCGACCTTTCTCTTTATTATCTTATTATATATATGTACAGTATATATAATAATAATATACATAAAAAAAAAAAAATGAATAAATGAATTCTGATCTAGTAGATAATTTGTAAAGTATTCTCCTTCTTGCCTTGTTTATGACTATTACGATAAGAATATGTCCGCTTGGACGGCCAACAAAAAAAAACCGGGTTGACAGTGGCCAATTCAATTATCGACAGTCGAATAAATAATAAATAAAAGGATGCGAGGTTTTAAAGGTTTTTATCAGTTCCTTTACCTTTCTATTTTTTTTTTTTTACCTTTTTTTTTTTTCGTAGACTTTTAAGTAACGAAACTTTTCTGATATGTTGGGGGAATAAAAAAAACGTGCGTATCGCATATTATTTAAGGTTCACATGACACATGCTATACAGGGAAAAAAACGCGTTCAAAGTTACAAAAATGAGCACGAGTACAAATTTAGTTAGTGATTTTGCGTTTCCTGTGAAAATCTTATACTAACCAGACATCAATACGCGTTTTGTTTGCAAACGACGCGTTATTTCATATTCAAACGCGTAAATTTAAACAACTTCTTTAGGGTACACCCCCATTTATGATTAAATTTATTTAAACCCTTCACTTCCTTCCCTTTTAATTGATTTCCTTTTTTTTGCGAATATTTACACATCACTCTCGAAAAAATAAATATTACATGTTGCATCTAACATTTTCTCTAACACTCTAACACTCTATCTATCACTAAAAAATCTTGTGAACTATACCAGCTTACCAAACCAACAAAAAAAAAAAAAGAAAAAAAAAATGTCTGCTACAAGTAATAACTCAATCTTCTTCTCGTCCCTTGATGATGTTTCTTTACCCCCTCTGAAGGAGCTTGATACACAACAAGAACAGCCAAAGTCCTTTCCTGTCCTTTTACAACCTGAAGTTCAAAGACTTACTTCCTTCTCACTGTTAGGGAAGACACAAGGCTGTCCAAAAACTTTCTTGATTCAAGAACTTGACTTTAGTTTAGTATCAAATACGGCTTTAAAACCATATAATGAACGTACTTCTATTGTAATTGACCAAGCATGGGCTCATACGTCAACGACATATCAAGTACCATCTTCATACGATGACAAAAATTTATCTGATCAAGACGTGTGGGGAACTCTAATGTTTAATTCATCTCAAGAAACAACACCCGTATCACAACGTTATTCACATTCCGAAATTTCAGCGGCAACTACCCCTCGGTCGTTCAATCAACGTCTAAGACAAGAATCATATAATAAGGAGAATGATTCAGAGAATAAAGAATTTCCATGCACCGAGTGTGATAAGATATATAGGGGAAAGAATGCGCGCTCAATTTTGCGCAGACACCTTAAAGATAAACACAAGATCGAACAACCAAGAGGTACACGATGGGATAATGACCCAAATCGTCCTAAAACGGATGAAGAACGACGACAGAGAATGTTAGAGTCAAAGCGAAGGTAAATGATTATTTGAAATAATATATAATCTCATTTGGATTTTTACTCAATGATTTTTTTTTTTATATTTAAATTCAAAATTATAGATCCGCATTAAAGGCTCGTGAAAGGAAGAACAATCAAAAGGCCATGCTGCAACATTCTAACAATATTAACCACAACCATCCAAGATTCTGTCGCGATCTTTATCCTTCTTCAAAAGCAGAACTCTCATTAATTTTGTCCCCACCACACACACCAACTACAACTGACTGTGGCCGAAATTTATGTTCGTCACCAGCTCACTACCACATTAATAAGATTCATTAAGATGTTCTTGACGGATATTCTTTTTTAAAAATTTTGTGGCAAAAGGAGGGATATGAAAAAAATTAAATTTCATTTTCTTCCCTTTTTTTTTCTTTTTCTTTTTTTTTTTTTTTTTATTTGCATTAACAATATTAATTGTGTTCTTTCTCAAATTTTATATTTCTTTTTTTTTTTTCGCTTGATAATTGTAAAAAAATTTTAAAAATTAATATAATAATATAATAAAACGCGTCTGATGCTCTTGTGAAAAATTTATAAGATTCCAAATTCCAATTGTAATGAATGATATTTCATCTAAAAGCTGCTAAAAAAAAAAATTTTCATGATGTCACTCGTGTAATGGTAACCATGACCAATCAGAATTCTCTTTCATTTTGATTGTTTAAAGAATTTATTAACATCTCCCTTTCTTTGATATAAATTTCACATGCCAATACTATCATCAATCTTTGCTTCAATGTCTCTGTTGTTGATTAGACTTCATCCTTATGTTCAAGGAACGTTAATAACGAAAAAAGAAAACTTGGACTTCAATTGGCAAACTCGAATACACTTGATCATGGAAAATTTTTTTTTTGTAAAAAAAAAAAAAAAAAAAAAAAAAAATATAAATAAATAATCATATATAATCATTTCATAAGACACTACCATGAATTTATTTCCATTAAATAGAAAACGAAAAAAAACTAGAATATTGAATAATAAAAGTTTTCTAATCTAACAATCAGCTTTTTGCAAGAATACAATACCAATCCCTTAGATTAAGATACAAATTACCTTTATTACGATGAGTACATAAAAACTATAAACATTGATTAAGGAAATGTATAATAATATTGAATTTCATTTAACGACTCTTTGCAGAAACTTTCTGTTGAGCACCACGAGCTTGTTGTTTAGAAATTTTAGATGCTCCACGACTAGCAACTTGAGCGAGCTTTTTATAATAAAAATCAATAAATATATCCGTTAAAGACAAAACCGATTTTCAGAATTCATTTCGAATTAAAAAAATTCAAATCTCTCATTACCTTTGCCTTTTCAGCTTTTCTCTTTGCTTGTTCGGCTTTCTTCTTCTCTCTACTTTCACGAACAGCTTCAGCTCTAGCAGCTTCTCTTACTTCAGGTTTTTGATTACGTTTAGCTTTTATCGCTTCCCATGATGCACCAACAACAGCTCTTTGATGTTTTACTGCACGACGTGTACGTTTTTTCGCAATTTCTTCAGTAATACCTTTTTTATGCATACGACGATAGACTGTTGTCCAACTAATTTTACGAGGATTCTTTCGTTGTAAGAAAAGGGATTCTGATTTTGATCCGACAAATCGATAGCTCTAATAATCAAAAAAAAAATATATAATTCATAAAAAACTTTTTTTTTTTTTTTGAAGGCTCATTCGTGATTAAAAAGACGATTTCATTCCTTAAAGAATGAAATTTGACAAGATCAATTAGAACAAAAATAATAAAATAATCCTGCGCATGATTATTTCTTTTTATATATATCCATCATAATCATTTTATTCAATCCATCTGCAAAAAAAAATAATTTATCCATTAAAAACTTTTGAATCCTAACCCTATTATCTATCCGGACATAAAGTTTGCCTTTTCCCGGATAGATCTTGTTGCCAGTGAAGGAATCACTTTCGATTCTAAAATGAAAATTTTTTTCAAGGAAAAAACTCATTTAGTTTGATTCTTATTTTTTTTTTTTTTGGTTTCATTTTTTTCCAACTCCTTTTTATTTCGATCAAAAAAAACTATATAAGAATTAACTCATTTCATACTTCATGTTGATAGCCGATAATATTGAATTTTTTTGTAGAAATTTTTTGTTAAAAAATATGAAATCAATAGCTATACATAAAATGTTGAATGAATCACATGACTTTCCATCACAAAAAAATTATAAAAAAGCGATCACATGATACTTTCACCCTCGCGTAAAGTTTTATTTCTCAGGTTTTTTAAGTTAATCCCTACCACTTAAAGATTTATACAAACCTTTGAGATTTTATATTTATTGATCCATTTACAAAGTGAACGTTGAATAAACGATATCAAATGATCGACGTCTCACGCGAATGGATTGTAGTATTATTACTTGTTTGAAAACAGATTCATGTTTATTTTAATCGAACATTTTCCAAGTGGAATCTTAAAGACTTCTTAAAGAATTGTGGGCTTGAAGGTATAGGTGGCAAAATAATTATTTATCTTAAATCTCTTGAGGCCATCGCAAAGGGGTTGCTTGCGAGTTATAGAGTGGTTATTCTATTTTTTAAAACTATAGAATTTAGTAGCGTGTGTGGGATCTCGAGGGTCTCGTATCATTCAAGCCTTAAGGGCGAGCTACAAAGTTAGTATTGGTGTGTGGGCAATCTCGAGGATTGTGTTTCGTTCAAGGCTCAAGTCTGACCTGGCGGTATATATTGACAAATACATTAATCGAGAATGTTACTAATTTACCAAATTTACGCGTTAGGTCTCTCGACAAGATCGGATTATTGCTCAAAGGAAAATAGTAAAATGACTAATGGAACTTCGACTTCGATGTACTTTTACGGAGAACAACCCTAAAAATGAGAGTAACCAATACCACATGCAAGAAACGTTAATCAAAAGCCAAAAAAAAAGTGAGTCCAATTAAGAATATAGTCATTAATTTCAAGGTTAATTACTTATAATTTCCATTAGGAGGGTTAACCTTCCTCTACAATGCTTAGGAAGACAAAAAGAGTATGTACATCGAAACAGACACGGATTCCGACGAAGGTGTGAAGCTTAAGAAGGCAATAAGTATGTTAATGCGTATCTACCGGGGGGTGGGGGACAAAAATATTGCACGGCTTAAAAATAAAAATTTAAATAAATTTTTTATAAGTTACTAGCCATGTGATTTTTATACCGAATAGGTTAGCAGTTGCTTTAAAGGGTTATTTGTTTATTGTTTTGATTAAATGTGTAGCAATTAATAAATTCACTTTTTAAAAAAACCAAAATTTTCACCTTTGCGCATAAACACGTGATGGGCCTCGCTAAAGAATTAACTAAGGGAGGCATAATAACAGCCAATAAATTGGGTCACATAAATTCAGAGATTGCAAAAGCTGTAGGATGTCATCAAACAACTGTTTCAAGATATCTTGCAGCTTATAAATCAGGAGAACCTTTTAAAAAATGATCAGGTCGACCATGCTTAATCGATAATCAAGGAAGGCAAAAATTAAAGGCTGAAGTTCTTAAAAACAAAGAATTGAAATGGAAAAATTTAGCAGATATTACTAAAATAATTTCTGCTAAAAACAATAAAACAATCTCTAAAAGAACTATTCGCTGTGCATTTCATGAGGAAAATGTGTCTTTTTGTATTCCTCGAAAGAAACCTTTAATTTCAGCAATTAACAAGACTAAAAGGCTTGCATGGGCAATAAAAAGAAAAGATTGGACCATTGAAGACTGGAAAAAAATAGTCTAGACAGACGAGTCAACTTTTTCTCAATTTCACAAATCTGGATGGGGACGAGTGTGGCGAAAACCAAGAGAGGAATTTCATAAAGATTGTATTGCATCAACAGTAAAACATTCTTCACAAAGGATGTTTTAGGTATGTTTTTCCTTTTTAAAGTTGGGACCCATTATACCATTTAAAGGTTCAGTTACTGGAGAAGTTTACAAAGGTATTCTTGCCATTTATGCAGTTCTAATGTTCAAGGAATTTTCCCGAAAAACAAAAAAAAATTATTTTTCAGGAAGACAATATGCCAGTTTATACTTTGAAGGTTGTACGAGAGTTTTTGCTTTCTCAAAAGGTACATTTACTTTCATAGCTTACTCAAAGTCCTGATCTTAACCCAATTGAGAATATGTGGTCTATAGTTGAGGTAGAGATTCGAAAATGCAATCCTCAACCTTCAAGCATTCCTGAGCTTGAAAAGGCGGTAAAAGAAGCGTGGAATGTGATATCACAAAAAGAGTACCGAAACTTGGTGCGATCAATGCCAAATAGAATTCAGTCTGTGATCACCGCCAATGGAAGACATACTAAATATTAATGTCAGTTTTCAAAAAATAAAATAATTGTATGTTTTTGTAAAAAATAAAAAATTATTGAAAAAATAAAAGCGTGCAATACTTTTGTCTCTCCCCCCCCGATACTTATTGATATAAATAAAGGCTTATAAAAGTCTAGATAAAAAATCAAATCCAGTGATCTATCTCATTCATGGTAACAATATTTAAAATATAGCAATAATTGATAATATTAATTTTAAAAAAAAGTTTTAATTTAGTAATATTTAAAATATTATATGAAATATATATACCACTCTAGAAATAATATAGTTTTATTATTAATTAAAGTAAAAATCAGTTTGGAAGAAGTTGTTAAATTAATAGCTAAACTCTATTATTTGAAATAAATTAAAGTAATCAAAGTATTAATAAAATACTAATTATATTTAGTAAGTTATTTATTAATTGTTAAATTTTAAAAACATTAATGAAGAATTAGTTTATAATACAAATTTTGATGCAGAAAATATTAAACACATCATACTTATTAGGTTAGATTATGGATGTCTTGGACTCCTTTTAACATTGTAATCTTGGAATTTGATGGCAATCCTAATTAAGACAAGGAGATTTTACATGTAACAAAAATGTATAAAGGAGATTTCATATTAAAAAGTCATTTTTTTTTAAATATTATAACAGATGAAGCTATTTTTCATTGATTAATTAGATATCAGTCAAAATAATCAAATATAAGGCCTCTCCTTAATCAGATTTTTATTCTGTTTTATTAGTTTTATTTTCTAGTTATGGTTTATTAAGTTTAGTCTCATGTTTAGATATTTATTTTTAGACAAATTTGTTGATTATCGTTCAATTGTATAAATACTTGATCTCTTATGGATTGCTGTAAAAATAACTATTAATGTTTATATTTGCAAAAAGAAATTTTACTTCATGAAATAATGGATATTGAAAATGGCTTACATATTTATCTTAAGCATATTTGTTAAATTATTTATTAATAAAAAAAATTTTATATTTTATTATTTAAATTGTAAACAATTGGCTTTTTTTTCAATTGCAAATATATATCAAAATATATACAAGGTATGGTATCTATATTATAAATTGGCTGAAATATAAAAGATGTATAAATTAGGAATGTATGTAGGAAATTTAACTTGTAACGAGATTTAATGTCTACAGCAGGATTTCTTTATACAAGCATAATAAAATTTAACTATACAATAGCCATAGCTTATTATTATCTTAGCAAAATAGTAGCATATCCTAAATTAGAAGAAAAGTTGCATTACTATAATACTTCCTATAATATTGATGAAGTTCCTAATAATACATGCTATACTTGTTTTGGATTTGATGAAATCTTAGAAGCCTTTGAGGTGAAATTCATTAAACAAAATATTAGCGAAAATGTGTTTAATGAAAAAATCAAATAAAAATCTCTTAGGATGAAAGGGAAAGGATTGATTTATTAATTAGTGAATATTTTAATGACTGTTTAGTTTATGGGCTATCAATCATGAAGGAATTTTTATAAGAGCTTGTAAATGATCTTGTAATAGTGTTTGGAATGATTGACCCCCTATCTCATAAACTATTTCAAGAATATATGCCTATCAGAAAGGGCTTGATAAGCTGAAAGCCTGTTATCCAGATGGTTAGAATGAATAAAAATAGTATATTATGACAGGAAGTCTTAGAGATAGAGCATAAAATCTACAGCATAGAAGAGTAACAGATGTTGTTAAGACAAAACTAAAAGATTATAATAGTAAAAAACGATCAAGAGATGAGGCTAAAAAGAGAATAAGAGCAGCTGCAAAACCTACACAACCAATGGCAAAATATTCAAATGAAAAACTACTTACTACTGAATTACCATCCAAACGAAGAAAAATTACAGGTACAAAACATAAAACTACTGAAGATGAAACGGCAATTCTTTGTGCATTGAAAGTATACAAAATTAACCTTTCAGATGATGCCATTGTATTGCTTCCGTTCGTAAGAATTTGTCAGAAATTTAGACTGTAAAAAAGGTGTGGGAATGGTGGTGGAATTATCATAAAAATTAGTGAATTGCTAAAATCAATTTTTATCATTAGAAAATAAATTTGATTTTTATAAAGGTAGTACTGGTTTATTAATTGCTAAAATAAAATTTGCCATTTGACTATCCTAAACGCTAATTGACGCCTAAGTAAATCGATTGTGCTTGAAAAACTACATATAGTTACATGTTTAAAAGATTGCATCTCAGGATCTCAGGGTCAAAACCAAAAAAATAAGGTAAAGTTGGTCCAATATAAAGTTTTTATACAAGTATCATACTATAATGAAAAACATTGAAATTTATAGACAGAAACCTTAATAAAGACCAAAGTTTCCTAAGCTACACTTGCGAATTACTTGAAATAAAACTTCGTTTGTTTATTTCTACATTTTAATGTTACACAAAATTTTATTATTAAAAGTTATACTAAAAAAAAAAAAATTTACTTAATGAAGTTTATTTTTTGTTAGTGTAATGAAAATAAATTTTTATTAAATAATTAACTTATATTACAATGTACAAACCAATTCATTCTTTTACTAAAATGCAAAATTTACAAAATTGAAACATTATATAATGAGATGAGATTAAGT